CTTAGCAATTTCATGGACCGTTAAGCTGCCAAATGAAAATATTCCCATTCCTTCACAAAGGATTCTTACCCCAAAATTGGAAGGGTATAATCTCAAGGAAAACGGGCACCTCTCCTCATTTGGAGGCCAATGAGGCTCCGGCTCCATCATCATCATTATCATTTCAGGGAGGGCGATGGAAATGTCACTGACAGACTCTCAGCCCTCAGGCAGGCACTGTACTTTGCATACACAAAACATTCACGTTTACCAAGCATACAAATTCAGATCTGATTTCTAGGGTAGTGGATGGGAAATGCTACATCCTGTCCCACCAGTAATGCCAAGCCTTCCGTCCCCGGTCCCCGGCAAAGGAACTCGCCCTTCCTCTCCAGAACGCTGCAAAGTCCCCTCCAGTTGCATCCTCCCAAATGCACGCTCCTCCTTCCAGCTCAGTTCAAAACTCGGCATATTTTAGACAACTAAAAATAACAAAGCCACACTTCCTCCCACTCCAAGCATTCCTGAAGCATACTTGCCAATGTAGCTAAACTTCAGAAACTCCAGGTACTGCCCAGCAGGCAAAATCCTGCAGCATCCACAAGAGGGAAGGGGCACAGTGGTTAACTTCCTAACATTCTCAAGTCACCAACAAAAAGAAAACCTTCAATGCATATTTCCACCTCATTATTCTTCCCTATGGTCTCTCTCCTTTGCCTCTGGGAACTCATGCATTTTATACATTTTATATACCAGGAAATTATACATTGGGATTTCCCCCCCTTTAATTCTTTCTTGCTTTGTCTGTGTCTTTTGTTGTTAGTTAATTAGTAAGTTACTGTGCTGACCTCCCATGCCTTTAACCAGATCCAGGCTCTCCAGTCTTCACCACATGATGAGTTGCCTCCTCCCCCTACTTTCTGTTCTTACCACTCTCCTCCTTGTTTGTAGTTCCAGCCTTGCTCCTTGCAGGGATTCAGAACCCTGACTCTAACTTCCCCAGGAGGGCCAGGGACACTGGTGTCCCTGTCCTCACTGTTCTTAAGTAGTGCGATAACTCTGGCTTTCCTCTCCTGCCTCACTTAAAGATTAACAATTGTAGGCTTTGGGCGCACTCTGAGAGCAATGCATGCATAACTCGGAACAGGCCTGCTCTCGATCCCATCATCATCCAGCCAGCACTCCTGCTATGGCAGCAACCGACCATAAACGCCCGCACAAGTCACCAAAGATGCGCACATCAAATGGCAGTGACAATCAATTCCTACGGCCAAGAGCTGCAACTCTCACTAAGGGCGGAAGGTGAAGGAACCAGCACAGGAAAGACTACTATAAGCATGCAGAACAGATCCCAGCAACCAAGACTCGGCATGTCTCCTCTGCAGCTGCTAGGATCTTCTTAGATGACCTGGGAACCTAAAAGCAGAAAGTCTTTCTTCAGGAGATGACACAAAAAGTTCCAACTCGAATACATTTCGGCCCAATCCCAGCTGTCTCCTACCCAGAAGGACACGAGTCCACAGAGTTCATTTATGACAGTTATTCTGTAGCAAAGGAAAAACTCAATAGGAGGCAGGAACTGACCAAGAAGGAAGGATATGAGACAAAACAAGGACAGGACAGGCTCTGAGAAGCACAAAATCAGCCTATATGCTCTAAGCGAATCCATCCCTCCTTGAATGGATGCATTACAGACCTCTGAGCCAGGCCAAGAAGGACTCAGTCAACAACCAGAGGGCACATTCTACTGCAAATTCTACTGCAAATCTCATTCGACAAATGGGGAGACTGGGACCCCAAGATGTGAACTGGCACAGCCAAGTCCCAGAGTGAGCTGGAGTGAAAGAGAAGGCAGGACACGCAAGCGAAGTCTCTGGAGGCCCTGCTTGGTGGTCTTTCTATCAAATCCTACCAGATCCATAATCATAGAGCTGTCACCCTGCCTCTGACAAGCCATCACAGTGGCAAAGCATGTCATCGACACACATCGTCACACAGAATGTGTGCTAATAACACTCCAAAATGGGTAATTAGGCCTTATCGTCCCAAGATTTACTTCTATTTGCTAGTACGACAACACGGCTGAAAATAAATGAACACAAAACCATTTTAAAATACATATGGGAGGGCCTACAGCACCCACATCACTTGGAAGACACACTATTCTCATCAAACTTCATCCTAAACAAATCGTCCATGTCTTGCAAGAGGGTGCTTAGGGAATAAAAATGGCACACAATGAAATATTCTCCTAGGAGAGAAAACGTAACAGTGAAAGTGCTACGGGGTCACAAGTCTCCGCCTCTTAAAGGAGCTTTCTTGGGCAGGTGACATTTATGTCAAGACACCATCAGACCTGAGTTTAAGTTCCCAGAACGGTCATTAAAGCCAGGATGGTAACAGGATGGTAACACAGTATTTCTACTGTAAGATGAACGGTAGAGACAGGATGGTTCCCCAAGGCTCTCAGGCCACTTGGCCTGGCATACACAGACATGAACAATGAAGAAGAAACTTTGTCTCAAAAAAGGTGAAAGTATTAGGATCTACATTACAAGGGCCCTCTGACCACCCCATGTGCACATGGCTAGTACCTGCAAACGCATACACATAAATGCATGCACACATATACCACATACCAGACAGTATATGCAAAAAGCTTAATATCAGTCCTATCATGTGACAGACTGTAATCAAATGCTAGTTTCCTTAACCCAGGGAAGGAGAGTATCACCCTCAAAATCAGTAATAACTTAAGACAGTATTTTCCTAAAACTCATCCTAAATGCCTTGTAGTAAGTAGCTGTCAGTCTCACAAAACACTGTAGCAGATCTCTGGAATAGTTAAGGTGTTTATCACAAAGGTTTTGTCTGTCTTAAAGGTGTAGGGGGACTAGAGAGATACTAAGATTCCATTTGTCATAGATACATTTAGATACCTACTAGTATCTAGTAAGCAACAGAACACATGTCTAACAGTCATGGCAAGGGTTTCAAGTGCTGATTCCTGCTGTAACAGAAAAAGAATCCAATGTTTGTTTGCTGTTTCTCCTCTGGCAGGAAAAGTCCTCAGAAAATAGAAACATGACATACAAAATAACTGTTCTAGAGTATTGCTTGCACACGTGGTCTTGTAATATTTGTCTTTCCTTAAACAATGTTGTAGTCATGTTGTAGTCTCTGTTCATATTACAGAAACGAAACGTAAAAGATTCCTCTAGAACCCTGCAGACCCTCAAAGTGTTTCAATTCCTACACTATGAAATCACAGAAGGGAGGATTCTGCTGGGTCCTTGAAGGTGAACAGTTTAGAGAAAGTATTAACACTGTAAAAGGACATCCACACCTTCACCAGAAAAGGGTCTCAAGCTGATACCTTTCTCACAGGTTCTGAGCAAGTGTGGTATTTCTGAGAACTTTCTGAAGGCACCTACCAATCTAGCACATCAAGTCCAAAAGGACAGTGGTGGACATCTTGTACCTGTGGCATCTCCCCACCTTCGGCGCCCCCCCCCCACGCCCACACTCCATAGATGGGACCACTCTGCACTCCTGACACCCGGCTCTCATCACATTTCTGTCTGCCTAGGGGGAGGGGTCCCCATTCTCAGGACAAATACCATCTTTCCAAACAGATGCCATTTCTAAGACTCTGCTAAAAGCCTCCGAATTCTGAGAAACTGTTGAGCAAATTCTGCTTTCAAGGTACAAACAAAGCCTGTTTCTAAGTTCATAAAGAAACATCCCTCGAGTGTCCTGTTTCTACAAGGTCAGCCACACAAGTTCAGGTCTACCGTGGCCATTTCAAGAAACTATCTGCAATATCATGATAAGAGAGAAAAAGAAAGATGTAAGAGATCAGATCCTAAAACAGATGAGCATCTGCCATAATTTATTAAGTCAGTGAAACAAATAACAAAGGGTAGCACCACAAAGTTTCTTATTTCTTGAAATTAAAATGATATTGCTGTTATCATTTTATGATGCTCTTTTATGACTTTGATTTAAGTCATCCATCGGGCACAATGACAGGACTTTCTCAAACTACCCCTTTTAAGAGCCCACTGGTCTTCTGACACTGACCTAATTCTCTCCACGTGAGCCCTCTACAACCACTCAGTCCATCCCCAAGTGATCGGGACAATCGTGGTTGTGAGGAACCTGGCTACAAAAACGGTTCCAATTCTCTAGCTGATTTCTCCAATTTCTTTTTTTTCTTTAAAGCCCCACACGCCCTTGGCCTTTTGCGCCTCTCCGCCAAAGACGTGGAGGGACCACCTCTCATTGTTTCTACGGGACTCCGCATCCCTCCCTCCGCCCAGCTAGTTTTCTTCGCACAAATGTCATTTCTGGCGTATGAAACACCACTCCTCCCAGCGAGAAGCAGTGGGACGTTCGGGACCCCGATGACCGGCTTCCCTGATCCAGCCCTCGGCACACAGCCATTTTTCTAGTTAAAACGCTCTCTGCTTTGCAGAAGAGACAGGAACTTTGCCCCCGTCTCCTCTCTGGGCAGCAGGGCTCCCTGCACCCCTGGAGTCGCTGGCCAGGTCTCTAAGTGTCTAGCAGGAGCGGGCCGCCGGGCGGTCAGGCCGGTTCCAGGGCAAGGGGGCGTGCGCTGCTCGTCGCCCGCGCCCACCCGCACTTTGCCCTCCGCAGTCTCAGCCTGGGCACAGCCCTGCGACCCAGTGTCCTCGCCCTACCCTGCCGAGCCCCAACTGCGAATGGGAGTGAAGGAGCAATGGGAGTGACGGGCGAGCCCGCAGCTAGAGCACCGGCCCTGCGGCGCGGGTGCGGGGTGCGCAGGACTCCGCAGCGGGTGCCTGCTGCAGATGCAGCGGCAGCTGCTGCAGCTGGGGCTGCGGCTGGGCGGCCGGCGGTGACCGCCAGAAACGGAGCGGCAGCCGCAGAGGCACAAGCCGCCAGGCTCGCCGGCTGCCGGGCTCCCGCGCCGCACTCCGGGCCACCCCACCCCCTCCCCGGATTCCCGGGCTGAAGGCATGGAGGAAAGCGTGGCTCACCAGCGCTACGCGACGCTCTATCGGCTCCGGCTCCTAGGTCTCGCAGTCCGCTGAGCGCCCAGATCAGCTGCGGGTTGCAGCACGCGAGCTTCCTACTTAGAGCAGCACTGGCTCCAGCGACTGAGCATGCCCAGTGCGGCTCCGCGAGGCCCGCGCAGGGAGCGGCGGCGGCAAGATTCCACTTCTCCAGGCTTTGGCGGCGGCTGCGCGAGGAGAGGCACCGAGGGGCCTGGCGGAGCCCGGCGAACCCAGCAAGGCGGGGCCGGGGGCGGAGGCCGCAGCGGAAGGGGGCGGGCCGCGCTCCCAGGGCGACCCCTGCAGGTGGAGGAGGCCCGGCTGCCGCACGGCTGGGAGGCAGGGGGCGCCAGGGTGACACCCAGAAGCTTGGGGCTCGGGGCAGCCCGGGTATCCCCTCCAGGTGGTCTGGCGTCTGTCTGCACCAAAAGGCCGTTGGGGATCTCGTCTCCCACACGTCTGCGTTCCTTTAGAATGGAAAAATATTCCCAGCTGAGATCTGCCCACAGCCGGCCAGGCGAGCTGAACATTGAAAGGTGAAACTTCTCCTGCCTTCTGACACCTCCTCCCTCAACGCCCAGACATATGCCACACACACGAACATTCCTGCACCGGGATATCACAGCGAGATAACGCCGGGCGAGAAACACGCCTGCGGAAAGGAAAACCATAATCTCCTTGTTACTGGTTTGTTAGCCAGTAAGTGGACATTCTGCAGTCACCGGGGCATCCTTAATGTGTTCTTCACTGAGCCAAACTGGAGCCTGGGTCAGACTCACTGGGAAGGCTGCTAAAGCAGAATGCTAGGCCCCTTTCCCAGGACGTGAATGAGTGGCCGTGCTCCCAAAATGCCTGTAACAAATCCCCATATGCTGGTGTGGCTGTCATCTGAGGACTAGTCGTAAGGACTCTCATAGACACTGAGTGCTACCTCCCATCTCCTTTAGAAAGGTAATTCTGAAAATAATTGTAACTATTAAGTAATGGCTCTTTTCTAACCCACTCCTCCCTCGGATAATAAACTGAGACTTTGTCCTCCCTACAGTGCAAGTGGGCTTTTTATTTTCATCTTCTTCATACATTGTTTACTGAGGCTTCACACGTTCTCCTACTAGACCCGGAAATAGAAACAAATTAAAAATCCCAATCCCTGCCTTTGCGGTGTTAGAGTCCAGAAGAGTGACTAACATCCATCTGTGAAATGCTGTTTCTGCTATCTCCAGCGGGAAATGTGCTAGAACCACGCACAAAAGTTGACTTGTAAAAGAGAACTGCTCATGCTCAGAGTTGAGTTATTGGGAACCAAGGGGTCGCCATGGGCTGGAGCCTGGCTCTTGCATCCTATGTAGCTTCTTATATGGTCAGTATTTCCCTCAGACTCAGCTGAAGTCCAACCGTACTGCTATAGAAAAATCTCCATAAATCTATGCAAGTGTTCACTCTTGGGACTGAGTTTCTGCAGCCCAAGACAGGTCTAATGAGCCCTGTGGATACCCAAATAGTCAAGATTAGGGTTCAACTAGCCACTTGGATAAAACAAACTGCAGAGAGCCTTGAGAGTCTACTCTGTGGCCTTCATGCCCAGACAGCCTGTCATCCCGGCGGTCTCAGCGGGCTACCCTTCCACCTTGACCTCCTCCCCGCCGATGTCCAGAGTCCACCTCGCCACCCGCTTCCCCGGAGGTCCGGGGTTGAACCGCGCCTGCCCTCTCCAGGCTGTCTACTCCGACGTGCAGGAAAACCGGCGCTGGAATCCACGGCGGCGGTGGGGCGGGGCAGGGCGGGGCGGGACGCGCAGGCGCGGTGGGCGCCAGGTTGGGCGGAGGAGGCTCCCTGCTCCACACCTGATGCAATCACCCTTCCGGAAACCCGCAGGGTCTCCCGGATCACCCGGGAAACGCTTCCGCACCTGCTCTCCCGCCACTGTGTGCCAACCGGGTCGCCGGCTTCCCAAGTTCATTCTCTTGGGTTGTCCGCGGAAGGAGTCGGGACGTCACCTCCCGGCCAGTCTTGAAGGGGCGGCCACGGAGCATCCCGCAGCTGCTGGAGCAAACTCCCTTAATCATTTCCAGGGAAGACTAGCCGGGACTGGAGAGCAGTCTTTGAACGCCCCTTTGCTTCCTTCCTGCGTCCTACCCACGTTTTCTTCTCTGTTCCTGAAAGGGACGTTTAAGGTGGAGAGAATTGCTGGGTACCCTGGCAGGCTAAGGATGTAACACCGCCTTAGCTGGACTGGAGAAAGCCTGCCACCGCACAATGATGTTATAAATAAGTAATTGGTTTCTCTCTACCTCATCGTTTGAGTTTGCAAAGAAAATCATTTCTCATTTTACCACCTCATGCAGTTTTTATAGCTATTGAGAGTGGGGTTTTTTTCCCCGTAGTGCTGACTCACACATGAACTATTTTCTTAGGAAATGAACTATTCCAAGAATATTCTGAGCTCTTGTTTTATTAAGTATGAAGTAAACGCTGGGAACAGCACATTTAAAAATTACCCCTGCAAATTCTAAAAAGCCCTCCTAAGTGGACGTGTGGGTGTTTCAAGGGATGTTAGTGGAAAAGACACTTCCAAGAAGATAGAATCAATCCTACACCAAGTCTTAGATTCCATAAGCATTTACCTCCTTATACCCCAGAGATGTCAATGGCTTCCTTAAGGCAGATCTGCTTGCTGTGATGGCCCAGACACCAGGGAAGCTGGGGCAGGACAGTGAATTCAAGGCTAACCTGAACTTCACTGTCAAAAAGACCAAATGCAAATCTGGGTGGCACAGAGCCAATTCCAGCTTAGTCAGGGCTACATACTAAGACCCTGGGGAGTGGAGGGGAGCAAAATGCATGCTTGCAATGATTTCTAGATAGTAACTCTCTCCACAACACTACCTTTTTTATCTTGATGGGTGTGTGTTTCTTTGGGGAATATTCTGACATTTAGAGATCTGAGAGAATACCTTCTTCATAAGCAAAAATAGAGTGGAGTAAATGTCAGAACACGGGTGCGAAGTCGGAAGGCATCACAAGGTGCTGATTAGAGAATAGCTGGCTTTACTGAGCATGTGCTAGGGCTGGTGAGACGCTTTCCATAGCTTGTTTAACCTAATCCTCACCAATCCCTCACCTCGAGGGAGGTGCTGTGCATCCCTGAATTACCCGTAGAGGAGTGTGCAATGTATTCCTGCATTATCTATAGAGGAGGGTGCTGTGCATCCCTGCATTATCTATAGATGAGTGTGCGATGTATCCCTGCATTATCTATAGAGGAGGTGCTTTGCATCCCTGAATTACCCGTAGAGGAGTGTACAATGTATCCCTGCATTATCTATAGAGGAGTGTGCAATGTATCCCTGCATTATCTATAGAGAAGTGTGCTGTGCATCCCTGCATTTTCTATAGAGAAGTGTGCTGTGCATCCCTGCATTTTCTATAGAGGAGTGTGCTGTGCATCCCTGCATTATCTATAGAGGAGTGTGCTGTGCATCCCTCCATTATCTATAGATGAGTGTGCTGTGCATCCCTGCATTATCCGCAGAGGAGGGTGCTGTGCATCCCTGCATTATCTATAGAGGAGTGTGCTGTGCATCCCTGCATTATCCGCAGAGGAGGGTGCTGTGCATCCCTGCATTATCCGCAGAGGAGGGTGCTGTGCATCCCTGCATTATCCGCAGAGGAGGGTGCTGTGCATCCCTGCATTATCTATAGAGAAGTGTGCTGTGCATCCCTGCATTTTCTATAGAGAAGTGTGCTGTGCATCCCTGCATTTTCTATAGAGGAGTGTGCTGTGCATCCCTGCATTATCTATAGAGGAGTGTGCTGTGCATCCCTCCATTATCTATAGATGAGTGTGCTGTGCATCCCTGCATTATCCGCAGAGGAGGGTGCTGTGCATCCCTGCATTATCTATAGAGGAGTGTGCTGTGCATCCCTGCATTATCCGCAGAGGAGGGTGCTGTGCATCCCTGCATTATCCGCAGAGGAGGGTGCTGTGCATCCCTGCATTATCCGCAGAGGAGGGTGCTGTGCATCCCTGCATTATCCGCAGAGGAGGGTGCTGTGCATCCCTGCATTATCCGCAGAGGAGGGTGCTGTGCATCCCTGCATTATCCGCAGAGGAGGGTGCTGTGCATCCCTGCATTATCCGCAGAGGAGGGTGCTGTGCATCCCTGCATTATCCGCAGAGGAGGGTGCTGTGCATCCCTGCATTATCCGCAGAGGAGGGTGCTGTGCATCCCTGCATTATCCGCAGAGGAGGGTGCTGTGCATCCCTGCATTATCCGCAGAGGAGGCTGCTGTGCATCCCTGCATTATCCGCAGAGGAGGGTGCTGTGCATCCCTGCATTATCCGCAGAGGAGGCTGCTGTGCATCCCTGCTTTACCCATAGAAAAGTTAGGCTTTTGCATATGACGTAACTGAAGAAAGACTTAGCATGTTTAGAGGCAGAACTAGGTTCAGCTAGGATTTGAACGAGGCACTTTGCCTAGTGTTTATCTCTTGTTTGTCTGTCTGGTTGCTCAGTTTGGGCTTGTTGGTTTCCTGTTTTCATTTTGAGACAAGGTCTTAAGTTAGCCAGGCTGGCCTTGAACTCACTATGTAGCTGAGGCTAGCTTTGAACTCCTCATTCTCCTTTTCTCCAGTTCTAGAGAGCTGGAATTCCAGCTGTGTGTTACCATGTCCAACTATGCTTGTGCCTTTAAGTAATACTACAAACAGAAAAATACAAAATTGTTATGCTGGTTTTGTTTTATGTAAGAAGATAATAGCACTGAGGAGGCTGAGACATGTAACTTTCATATTTTTATTCTTATTTATTTATGTTTGTTTGGGACAAGATCTTACTTTGAAGTCTGGGCTGGCCTTATGCTCATGGCAATCCTCCTGTTTCAGCTTCCTGCATGCTGGAATTATAGATATGTGTCACCACTTCCAGCTTCTCCCCTCATTCGCCTCTTCTTCTTTTGTTGTTGTTGGTGGTGGTGATGGTGCTAGTGGTGGAGGTGGTAAAGGTGGTGGTGGAGGTGGTGGTGGTGGTGGTGGTGGTGGTGGTAGTTTGTTTTTTTTTTAATTTTGTTGGTTGGTCGGTTGTTTTGCTGTTGTTTTTCTGTGTCCACA